ATTGTATATCATGATCAGTTCTTATGATAGCAAACTCAGGTGGTACATGCAACCAGGACCCATTGGGTCGTATTTGATAAAATTGTCCTGTTTATGCAAGGACTTCTCCAAAGAATCATCTGGTCACCTCCTACGCAGGGACATTTATTTAAGGGTTGAGTGCTTTCAGTCCTGAAAGCTCACTGTCATGAACTGGAAGAAGATAGGAAATCAGGGTCATGAGTTTGGAAAAGTTGCTTGAGGACTAAAAGCAGTGCATCACAAGCTTCTTTACTTTCTGGAACTGTACAGCAGTTGAAGGCAAACCACCCACTCCGCCGACAACATTCAAAGCGCAGCAACAATAATCTGTTCTAAGAACATCCAAGGATGATTTCCCCCTTCTGTCTCAAGTATTTGTTTTGAAATATAAAGGAACCACAAGACTTCTTGTCTTTTCTAAGGTAGCTTTCAGAGGTACGCATCTAATCCACCAAGGATAATCTTTATCTCAGGTGGCATCCAATACAATACAACGCTCTTCCCAGGACAGCTTTTCGATATATGGATGGATTTAGAAACATGTTTACCAAAGATAATGGGTTGGTTTGGCACTGCGCTTGCAAGCTCGTGATGTTTTTCAAAAAGGGGCACTCGAAAGGACGATTGGATCTCGCCATCTCAAAAAGCTTCCTTCGTGTCACAGATAAGGCGCCATATCATTAGACGACAGAAAGAGCTTGCTCATCCAGGCATGAGGTCAACAGCATAAAATGCCACTTGCTAGGGCTTTGACACGGATACGCTTCATGAAGCTTTCAGTGTCTCCTCTTTTTCTTTCTTTAAATAATAATAATCAGATGGTTTCTGTTTCTGGAAAGAAATTGGTGCAATTTCCTGTCATAAACAACATCAGGGATTCAAAATTATGCTGAGTATTGTCATTCCTGATTGGCAGGTGCCTGCCCCCTGCCTCGGTTGTTCATCTGCATAACTAAGTTCTTTTTCTATTATTCTATATTTGTATTTACTTATACTTTATTTACTTATACTTTCCCTATTACAAACAAGAGGCATATTGTCTCTGTTTCCCTCAGAGAAGGGGCAACAGATAACCCTGTAGTAGGAAAATATTTGAGAACCTCGAGACCGGGGTATAATTATCAAGCAAAACGACTTAGGCCCAATTTGTACCCAGCTAGTGTAGACTGCCTTGTGTCCAGTCTGCAATATCAGATTCCATGTGGCCTCAACAGAACAGCGGGGTGGGTGGGTGGGTGTCTGTATCCCTCTATATATTGTTGGACTCTTACTCCCAGCAACCCCAGCCAGCACATCCAATGGTTATGGACGATGGGAGTTGTACTTTAGCGACGCAGGGTCACAGCCCCTTCAAACTGAATATAGATATTACCACTGGGAGGGGGGAATAAATGTAGTAAGGGGCATCGTGTTAAGGACACCCTCAGACTTCGAGGTTCCTGGTTTTTGAGGCCCAGATGCATCAAGGTTTAGACACCTGTGGGTCTGGAAGCAAATAATTGTTCTAGAAATAGGTAGAAAAATGAAGCTTATACCGAGTGTACATCATCATCATCATTATTATTATTACCGGTATTATTATTATTATTATTAGTCTGTTTTGCATCCCTTCCCAGTTAGTAATTAAGAAAGGAAACACCTTTTGTTTACACAAGATTGTTGATGATCCTTATGAAAAGACAAGAGCAGATTGCAGATTGATAGAAGTTCTGACTGGCTTATGGATTTTCAATATATGCTGTTTGTCTGCATCAGCGAAAAGCACCAGGTCATTACAGCCTTCTGTGACATTCATAGCTAATTTACAACAAGGCCTCTTATAATATGCTACTTAAGCAACAGCCATTCTATAATTGAAATTTCTGTCAAAGGGCCGACAGTAACAATCTATTTTTATTTCCCAGGTTAAAAAAGAAAGAAAAGAAAACTTATTATGATTTTGCAAAGTCATGCACCCTTAACAATATGCATGCCATAAAGCTATAGTGAGGAGTGCTTAGAAAAGTTCCCAACCTTCAATAAGTCAAATTATTAAAAGGTCAGAGAGGTTGTCAGTAAAGATTTGAGGCCTTTGCCTAACATAAAAAACCCCCCTTAGGAATAAAAGCCTTCATTATGGAAGGTTGTCTCCAATGTAGCGTTAGGTAAGCTTCCTATCAGGGAGATTATTATTATTGTATATTTATTTATACCTCACTTTTTCCCCTGATGGGGAATCAAGGAAGCTTACAGATAAAAATAAGAATGCATAAAAACATAGGAAAAACCCAATCATTCAAAAACAATTGAACACTGATAGAACTACTGTCAGGAGCTAGTGTGAGGAGCAGATCAGCAATAAAACACCTGATGTCAGAAATGTTAACTCTTTATCCAAAGAAACCAAAACAGCTCAGTCCTAGTGGTCACAGCAACTCTTGTCCCAATGAGGCCGTTGTGAGGATGGAAGGTGTTATGTACTGAAGTTCTCACCCTGGGACAGCAGGGGGAAACTGTAACTGCCTAAGTCCTCTCCTCCCTATGGTCCTTCCCAAGCACCCTGAGACTTCCCCACCTTGTCTGTCTTTGCTCCACCCTCTTCATACCTCTTCTGGTCCTGGGAGGCCAGGTAGATGGGGAGCTGGTCATAGTAGGAGGGGGAGAATCCCTGGCTTCTTCAGCAGCCTGCCCAGTGTCCGACTCTTGACCTTGCTCCTCTCCAGCCTCCACTTCTGCCTCTGATTCTGGACTGCTCTCTGCCCCAGTCTTTTCCTGCTTGCTAAACTCTGTTAAGCCTTTTAGCTTCTAATACCTCCTCCTCCCAGTCTGCTCCCTCTGACCACTCGTCGTTATCCCACCACCATTTTCCTGGCTCTGAGCCATCTTCCCTTGGAGGTGCCTTTGGGGGTTCCCCAAATGGTTTCCCCCACCACTCCTCTACATCCAGCCAGTCCATGACAACTACACACACACACACACACACACACACCATCCCCATCGTTCTACCCGGACGCTGAGGTCCAGCGCCGAGGGCCTTCTAGCGGTTCCCTCATTGCGAGAAGCAAAGCTACAGGGAACCAGGCAGAGGGCCTTCTCGGTAGTGGCGCCCGCCCTGTGGAACGTCCTCCCACCAGATGTCAAAGAGATAAACAACTACCTGACATTCTGAAGGCAGCCCTGTCCAGGGAAGTTTTTAATATGTGATATTTTAATGTATTTTTACTCTTTGTTGGAAGCTGCCCAGAGTGGCTGGGGAGACCCAGCCAGATGGGTGGGGTACAAATAAATAATAATAATAATAATAATAATAATAATAATAATAATAATTATGATCACACACACAGAGAGAGAGAGATTTCCACTCGCAGAACAGAATCCCCCTCCTGCGCCAAAAAAGGGGGGAGGTGGAATGGGGCTGGGGAACCCCCAGTCGTGTTTCTGAATATCATTTGCTGGAAACAACAGGAGGGAGAGTGCCTCTTCATCCTGGAGAAGAGTGACTAGTGGGGTGCCACAGGGTTCTGTCTTGGGCCCGGACTCAAGGGCATCCTGATCAAATTTGCAGATGACACCAAACTGGGAGGGGTGGCTAACACCCCAGAGGACAGGATCACACTTCAAAACGACCTTGACAGATTAGAGAACTGGGCCAAAACAAACAAGATGAACTTTAACAGGGAGAAATGTAAAGTATTGCACTTGGGCAAAAAAAATGAGAGGCACAAATACAAGATGGGTGACACCTGGCTTGAGAGCAGTACCTGTGAAAAGGATCTAGGAGTCTTGGTTGACCACAAACTTGACATGACCCAACAGTGTGATGCGGCAGCTAAAAAAGCCAATGCAATTCTGGGCTGCATCAATAGGAGTATAGCATCTAGATCAAGGGAAGTAATAGTGCCACTGTATTCTGCTCTGGTCAGACCTCACCTGGAGTACTGTGTCCAGTTCTGGGCACCACAGTTCAAGAAGGATACTGACAAACTGGAACGTGTCCAGAGGAGGGCAACCAAAATGGTCAAAGGCCTGGAAACGATGCCTTATGAGGAACGGCTAAGGGAGCTGGGCATGTTTAGCCTGGAGAAGAGGAGGTTAAGGGGTGATATGATAGCCATGTTCAAATATATAAAAGGATGTCATATAGAGGAGGGAGAAAGGTTGTTTTCTGCTGCTCCAGAGAAGCGGACACGGAGCAATGGATCCAAACTACAAGAAAGAAGATTCCACCTAAACATTAGGAAGAACTTCCTGACAGTAAGAGCTGTTTGACAGTGGAATTTGCTGCCAAGGAGTGTGGTGGAGTCTCCTTCTTTGGAGGTCTTTAAGCAGAGGCTTGACAACCATATGTCAGGAGTGCTCTGATGGTGTTTCCTGCTTGGCAGGGGGTTGGACTCGATGGCCCTTGTGGTCTCTTCCAACTCTATGATTCTATGATTCTATGCAATTGTGTTCAGGTCCTTGTGGGTTTCCCACAGGCATCTGGTTAGCTGTAGTAGATTGGTCATTGGCGTGATCCAGCAGCTTCTTCATATGTTATTATGTATTGTGACCCCCTGCAGTATTTACAAGCACTGGCACTTGTCTGGCTGCTTTCATTTGTTGTCCCAACCCTCAAGGTAGACCATCTCTCGCATCACAGGCAGGTTTCAAAACAACAACAAACCAAACCCAAATATGTAGCTCACCACTTTAAAAAAAGCAACCGTACTACGATACGTCTGAATTTACAGTTGCCTGCTAGGCTGAAGTTTGGCGAAGGAGCCTGCTCAAGTGGAAGTGAAGTTCAAAGAATGCCATTGGTTATGCAGAATATATCACATGTGGCTTTTGCTGAGCAGCCATTATGTTTAGGAGTTGTATGTCCACATTGGAGTGCATATGGAGGTCATGTTCAATTCCAGAGATCTCTCTGCCAAAGCAGCTTTCCATTCATCACTGCTCTGGGCATGCAGAATTGAAACCATACCATTCAGCATTTGACAGGACATAAGATAAAAGTCAATAAAAAGAGAATAATTTATTAAAAAGATCTAATGTTACAAGAACAGTACACAGGAACCAGTATTTGACTGTGTCTTTCACATAGTATATACCATTATATATAGTAAATATATACACGCTGTATACAAGATATCTAACATTTTTGAGACGGGACTTTGTTTCGGTTTCTGAACAAAGTTCTTTTTTTTCCTCCTCCTCCTATCATTTTTCAAAATTATCATGACATTATACAAAAATACAGTCTTCCCAGTTAAGTTGGACTGCTCTGTTACAATCTCATCCAAAGGAAACAGAAAAAAAGAAATCAAACTGACAAACCTCTTTTTGCAGCAAAACAGCCAAAGACCCCCTACCCCTTCAAACAAAAGAATAACATCCAGAAATAGGTGTCGTAAGATGGAAATGTCATCTTCTACAAAGGAGGTGGCAAACATTTAAAACATGTTTATTAATAGGTTGAAGATGCAACATACAATGTTCTGCACAGGCTGGAGACAAAACAGACCCCTTTGCAACCCTGCAATGTAATTTGTCAATGGGATGTTGGGCTTTGGTGCAGCTAACTAAAGCTTGGCCATTCAGATCTATGGCACAATCTCCTGGACCTTACTGGGGACATATATCAGAAAAGCCTATTGGTCGCGTGAGATGTGCTGCAAGCTTGCAAACATGCAGGGATCCCACTGCAGGTTATTATGGGATTCCAGAACATGCCTATAAGGAACTCTTACGTTCTGTGGACTGCATTTGGAAAGCTGTGCTTTATATGTCATTCTCCTTTGTTGAGTTACAGTCATTGTTTATGATCCAAAAGAAGAAGAAGAATGTTAGCATACAGGATTCCTGTTGCATATAGCGTTGGGAGCAACCCACTCCCTGGTCTACATAATTTCAGCATTCCTTCATCAATGTGGTGACAAAGACACCCCAAACCCAATTCATTGAGGAGTGTTTATTCAAGATTCTTCTGATGACGTCATGAGTTTCTGCGCCAATCTGTGCTTCTCCTGACATTGATAGGATCCTCTGTCTGCTTTATGTTGGTGGGGGCAGAGAGGGACCAGTCAATGTTGGGATGAGCATTGTGTGTAGGTTGGACTCAAGGCTCCAGTGTGATTCTGAAAAGTTCATCAGGATTGTACCAAGGCCCAGTCACCTTTGTGTACTGCAGGATGGGTTTTCCAAACTTGGGTCTCCAGTTGTTTTCGGACTACAGTTCCCATTATCCCTGACTAGTGGGATGATGGGAGTTGCAGTTCAGAAGCAGCTAGAGACCCAAGTCTGGGAAACCCTGGATTAGTCTGTCTACTGAACTTATTTGTGGAGCTAGCAGGGATAACTGGATCAGAGCTGTGGTTGGGCCAGGAATCTTTCTCATTAGGCACTGTCACTACATGGTGTGCTAGGGCCCAGAGCCATCAGGTAATATTCTGGCATTTTAAGATGTTTTAAGCTGCATTTCAGAGATCATTTGTTGCCAATGCCAGTTCCTGACTGTGGAATGTCTATTTGCTACATGCATATGAGTGGCTGGAGTGGCTGTGTGTCCTACTTTACAGAGCCCAGGCCTCTATCTGAAGGGTTGTTAGTTCTCTGTTTGAAGGACTGTCAAATCCCTATTTAAAAATTCAGAACCGTAAGGAGAAAGGGCAGATGGGCCTCGAAGTCACTCACCAGATGTTCACCCCGAACACTAGGCTAAGCAGGCACACAAGCAAAACGAGAAGCCTTTCATTTCTCTTGAAAGTTATAGTCACTATTTCTAAATGAAATGTTCCTTCCTATCTTATGCAAGGTTACGTTCTTATTGATTTTTGTAAGCCATTGCCTAAAGGGTAGGGTATAAATGCTGCAATACAGCAGCAATAAATAAAAAATAGCAATAAATAAAAAATGCATTCACAATTAGCAATACAAATTCTATGCTAATATGCTTTTGGTGACACATAGCAAAGAATGACACTTTCCATAGCTGGTTCTTCTTCTTATTTATTTAATTTATTCGTTGCTTCTTCTTGCCCCAGGCAACTCAAAGCTACTTTTTAAAATGGAAAGAGCTGGTTCGTCTTTCCCGAATAGGTTTGTGGCAATTGCACTCTTAATTTTCTGCTTTAAAGTTATGGATCTTCCTTTTTATCACTGTAGAATTACATTGTCTCTCTTTGCTCACCACCAGAGGCAGCTGCTTCCTCCTCCTCCCGCCCCACCCAGGCATCTTTCGGCATGTCCTTCAACTGATTCATTAATTGCTGCTTTTTAGACTTAGAGGTTTATATTCTTAAGAAAGGGCTCTGAGGAAGTCTTTATCTTGCCTCTAAAACCCGCAGTGCTCGTTCCAACCATTGTCTCAGTGTCGCAGTGGATTAGAAGTCCTTGTTCCCCTCCTTTCTAAGGGAGCATTATGCATCGAAAAACGAAATCGGGAGGTGGCAGAAAGAAGAAGAAGAAGAGTTTGGATTTGATATCCTGCTTTATCACTACCTGAAAGAGTCTCAAAGCGGCTAACATTCTCCTTTCCCTTCCTCCCCCACAACAAACACTCTGTGAGGTGAGTGGGGCTGAGAGACTTCAGAGAAATGTGACTGGTCCAAGGTGACCCAGCAGCTGCATGTGGAGGAGCGGAGACACGAAGCCGGTTACCCAGATTACGAATCTACCGCTCTTAACCACTACACCACACTGCTCTTCCATTTATTTTCCAAGGTGGGTGGTAATAGAATGTAGCAAAACACCCACCTGACACTGCACACTTATCTTACTTTGCCTGACACCACATCTGCACAATACATTTAAAGCGCACTTAAAGCACATGACTTCCCCCCAAGAATTCTGGAAACTAGTTCCTTCTTAGAGCTACAGTTCCCAGCACTCTTAACAGCCTTCTGTTCCCAGGGTTCTTTGGGGGGAGGGGAAGCCACATGCTTTAAATGTACGGTGTGGATGTGACCTGACTTTCTATCTGTCCTTTTAAAAACAGCAGCACAAGCCTATGTGGGACATACCCCAAAGAAAGCAAAATAAACAGAAATCCCCGGATTCCATACAAGTTTCTTCTCCAAAGAATCTAGTGCTGGCAGTTGCCCAAAATTCCATGACTAAATATGACAACCTCAGGCTATATACTGACTTGTGCTGTCAGCATGATTCCTTCAAGCGTATATAACTTAAAAGTTGCTTCCTTGCCTGTACCCTTTGCGGCTTAGGGCCCTCGTATTTATGGGACTGCGTCTCCTGGTATGCCCCACAGAGGACCTTAATGTCCATGAATAATCATAGTTTAGAGGTCCCGGGCCCTAAGGAAGTCAGATTATCCTCCACCAGGGCCAGGGCCTTTTCTGACCTGGTGGAATGCTCTATCCCATGAGACCAGAGCCCTGCAGGATTTAACTTCCTTCCGCTGGGCCTGTAAGACAGAGCTATTCCACCTGGCTTTCAACTTGAACTTAGCCTGATCTTTTATTCCCCTTCCTTCCCTCCCTCTCACCTTTTTATGAAGATTACCCACTCTGGGATCCCACAGCTAATTCTCCCCTGGTCTCCTCGCTGGCCCAAATAGGACTAATTTAGCCAGCTAGCCCTGGTGATCATCTAATGTTTATTGGATGGATTTCCCCCCTAAGTTGATTTTTGAATTCTGAATTTATTGTTATTCACATTTTATACTGTATTTTATGCTGTTTTTTGTTGCATCAATTAAGGGTTTTAAATTTGTTGTTAGCTGCCCTGAGCCTGGTTTCCTGAACCGGGAAAGGGCAGGGTATAAATAAAAATTTACTATTATTATTATTACTATTATATTCACCACCCTAGAGCATACTGACACGTGCGTTTTAACACAAACAAGAGCAGAGGTATTTCGGCTTGGGTGCTCCAGTCATGAGAGACCTTCAGAACTTCAGCAGATGTACATGCACACACACAAATACACGCCTCTTCACTCTGCATTGGAAAAAATGAGGAAATGTGTGGTACTGCAAAATAATCTCTGGGATTAAAATGGGCAGCAGTGGTCCTAGCCCTTAACTGGACTGGACATAGTAGCCTAAATCAAGAAATGGGGACCTGTGATAGTACCAGTGCTCTTTTCTAGAAAAAAAAAGAGGTGCTGGAACTCACCATGAACGCCTTCGTTCTTCTCTTATAATGGCAATGGTGCCCACCTGAGAGGTGCCAGAACTGAGTTTCAGTGAGTTCCAGCTGGGAAAAAAAGCCCTGGATAGTACCCCTGGTCAGGGTCACATTCAGCTTTTTGTTTTTCCATTTTTAACTTCAGTTCCCAAGAGTCCTCACAAAAAAAAATTGCCTGCATTTTAATGTGCATTTTCCCCAATATATTTGTTGCGATTTGCCCGTGTATATGCTTTTTTGCAATCAGTTTTCCCCCAACAAAATTCTCTTTTTTTGCATGTTATTTTCATTTCCATGCATTTCTGTGCACATACTCTCATAATGTATTTGCACACTTTTTATTTGGTACGCTTTTTTTTTTGTTGCAGAACCATGTTGCAAAATTCAGAGGTGTGAATTTCAAAGGAGAGGTGCCTTCCGGTTTGAACGTGGTTTCGGGAAGTGCAAGTTGGATATGTTTGCATTAAAATGCAAACAGAACCAAATCTCTTGTTAGGGATGGTGGGTGAATACTTCCGAAACTTGAACCTGTAGCTCACGTAATGTGAGTCAGACCAATATGGTGTAACAACCTTAGTGTAGACAGACACAGAAAGATGGAGAAGGGGGGAGGGGAGAGGGAGGAAGGAAGGAAGGAAAGAAAGAAAGAAAGGAACTTGATAGACAAATGGATAAAGCAATGCTAAAATAAAATGCAAGAGAAAGAACTGAAAATGGGCCCAGTCCTATATTTGAAGATATATCCTGGATCTGGAGAGGCTGAAGGCCACTTGCTTAGAAAACAATGTCTAATAGCATCAATTCCAGCGTTGCTTTGATCATGGCATTGCCCTGTTTGAGCAGTGTACGCGTTTTTGACTGCAAATCCAGGCAACACCACCCTGTTTCGATCTCGAAATGCTCTTGATATCCTTCAGCTGAATCACCAAATATAGACAGTACAGTACCATACAAAAATGGACTACAAAAATAAAGGTCTAAAGATTGACAGCTGTTTGAGGATAACAGCTCTGTCTCTGCATTCATTCAGCTTTTTTGTTTACTTCCAGTTAGCAATGACTGGAGGCTATGATTAAATGCCTGGCGATGGTTTCATTGCCATTTGCATTCTCTATCAGCTGTATTCTCGCTGTTAGAAAATAAGCATTCTCTCTCTATGTTGTTAAGGTGGACAATAGCTGGTGCAAAAATAATACGGCTGCGTTTCATTCTTTGCCGAGCTGCTTAGAAAATTACCTTGCAGTGAAAAAAAGTGACTTGCATGCCCTGAGAATAGAAACAGAGCAGAAAAACAATAAAAAATTACCATAGTTTACTAACTTGATGTGGCTTCATTCATTATTATTTTTAAGGTGACATTTTCTACAATGATTTAGAAAAGGGACCACATAATGTAACTTTTGCCATTGTGCCTTTCCAATAGGGGGAAAAAAAAGCAATAAAGCCAGCCTTATGAAAAGAGGGAGGGGGGATTTAGACTCCAAATATTTATCAAACTTTTTTTTCTTAAAAAAACCAACCCATAACAACTCAAACAAAATAGATGTACTGTACTAGACGCCACAATTTAAACTACTCATGATACAAGACTGGTGTCAGCTAATATAGAAACGCATTAGAAAAGGAAAGTAAAATTGGACAGATTTTTTTCATTTGCTTACAAAAGTTCATTTCGTACAATCTGCATATTTTCTCTGTTGGGCAATAAATATCCCCTCATCCAATAGAGGACATTTACAAGAAACTGAAGAGAAGAAACCTGATGAATTGTTTTAGCATTATTTGCCACCCACAACACTCTTCCTGGTGCACCATGTGTGTTTCTCGTGTCTTTGACCATTGGGCTCTTTGCCTTCTGCTTCCTCCATGGATACAGAATTCCATCCAGTGATGTTATCAGGCTAAACCAATCAGAACGATGAATGAGGAAAAGGTCCACAGTCTGTCTTCACCACGAGGTTGACGGGACCATTAGTACCAAAAGGAACGTTACAGTCGATGACGAAGTAGAGAAAGCACGTAGGCTTGATTGAGAACTTGTGACTTTTCCACCTAGGACAATCAAAACAAGAGACAGAAACACAGAATTTTAGAACTGTGGTGTTGGAATCGACCCAAAGAGTTGTCTAGTCCAACCCCCTCTCATGCAGGAATCATAGATAAAGAATCCCAGATAGAATGGTGATCCACGATGAGGTAGTAACTCCCTATTAGATTTTGGCATTTCCCTAACCCAATGATCTGCTGTGGTTTTAACACACCAATACCTTGAGAAAAATTCAGCACAAGGGACTCTTTGATCCAACCCAGAATATTCATTTTTTTTTTTTGTCAGTGTGGGCTTACTTTGACAACATTGAAGATTCATTTTAATTACAACAGGTTTGATTGTTTTTTCCAAGTAGGATGGCTCAGCTAAGCCAAGACGTAAAATAAATAAAAAAATGCAATTAACTTTGCATTCGGCAAGAAATTCTGAGAGTAAATAACCTTCCCTTTGTTTATTTGAAATGCATGTCCTTTGCATACTTATTAATCAAGTAACATTAGTTATTGTTAATCAATGCAACAGTAAACAATGCTCTATGTCACCCTCCGTTTTAAAATTAGCACTGTCGGTCCTTTATTGGCTGAGGCTGTGTAAACAAACTAGGAAGGTAATGTTCGTTCTTTATGAAGTACTCTCTCTTACTCATGTTTTGTTGACAAGAGGACTCTGGTGGGACTCTTACACCCAACTGAGATTTATATCAGAACTTTGGACCTTTCGTTGGTGTTTCAGCAGAGAAATATGTGAGCACAAGTTTAGACCAGATATTTGCCTCGCTGTGAGAAACCAAGTTACAGGGAACCAGGCAAAGGGCCTTCTCGGTAGTGGCACCTGCCCTGTGGAACGCCTTCCCACAAGATGTCAAAGAGAAAAACAACTACCAGACTTTTAGAAGACATCTGAAGGCAGCCCTGTTTTGGGAAGCTTTTAATATTTAATAGACTATTGTATTTTAATATTCTGTTGGAAGCCGCCCAGAGTAGCTGGGGAAACCCAGCCAGATGGACCGGGTATAGATAAATTATTATTTATTATTATTATTATTATTATTATTATTATTATTATGCGTTTGACTTCCTTACCTGAAAATGATGGTACCCTGATTTGAGAGCTCGGCATCCCATCCCCTCCTTCACTGACTGCGCGGACCTCTATGATATAGACCCCGACATCAGGGAGAAGCACCACTGCAGATGTTTTCTGTGTTTCAATGACTTGACTGTTGCTGTCACCTTCCTGCCTAAACAAGACCTGTGGACAATATGAACAACTGTAGAATATCTAGCATCAATGAAGCACATGGCAATGAAAGCAAGGGCTAAGCAACTGAGAACTGGGCTTATGGAATAAGTAAGAAGGACAATGTGTATGAAATTAAGCATGGTATGAAAAGAGTGGATAGAGACAGGTCGTCCCCACCCCCCTAATAATCTGATGCCATTCAATGAAATGGAATGTTGGAATCAGGCTGATAACTGCAGGTACCTCACATCTGGCATCTCCATCAGTGTTAACCATAATTTATACTAACCAGAGTTAGAGAAGAGGTTTTATGGTGATTGATAAAATAGTGGCAGAGCACTGTAGTTAACACTCACCAGGGATGTAAGGAGGAGATGGGCAGGAAGCGAAAGGGAGGGAGGTTGCAAGCCAGCAAAATGCTCTTGAACTTCGAACCATGTGCAAGTTCTTGCCCTGCTACCCTTTGTCCAATTAATGTAAGATATGAACCTTCTGGACAGTGAGTGTATATGTTGTCTTGAGTGCTGTTGGAAGTATGTAAGTATTAAATGGGAGGGAGGAAGGGAGTAGGGCTGGATTTAGGTTTGATGAGGCCCTAAACTGCTAAAGTTAATGGGGCCCTTTATATGTCCAGCTGTCTTTGTCAACAACAAATTGTCACTGTTTTTTGTGTTGAATATATGCTATATGGTAATTTATGGACCTAATAGGTATCTAAAGCCATTTGCACATAACAAAATATGTATTTTATCAAAATAATTGTTGAACTGAAATACAATTAAGAAGAAGTTTTTAAATAGTGAAATACAATTAAGAAGAAGTATATTAATAGTGAAAAAATTATTAATACATACTGTTGCTGTATGTAGGTTTTATTTTTTATCTTATTTTTTGGAAATGTTCATCCAGGGTTTTTTTCCTTTAATTTTTTGGGGGGCTTGTTTAGTTTATACGTAAATCCGGCACTGGGAGGGAGGGAGGGAGGGAAGGAGGAGAGATCATTTGGCTATAGTGTATATGCACATTTGTATATGCATTTGAGATTGCAACTAACACTATGGGTGTACATGAAAAAGTGTATGCATGTGTGAGCAACAGCGCATATGCATTTTTTTTGTGGGGAGTGTGTGATCCAATAACCATTTTCAAACCACTTATGTGGGTAAAGAGCTTCTCATTCTCCAAAGCACCAAAAATGGAAGAGTGAAGCCAGATGCTACAAGTACAGATTGCTGATATCCCCAACACAATCATAACAAATCTCAGTATTTGCACTTCTGCTCCATAAAGAAAATATTAATTTTAATGGCATTTACAACACCTCATGTTTCTGCCTTTCCTTAAATCCTACTGCAAACACTGTCAAATTGAAGCATTAGAGTGGATTTCACTGCAGTCTGTTCCTATTAATAGTCAAATGGGCTGGCCTTAACGGCATAAGGCAGCATATATTATTCAGTTCATAATCCACAGTTGACAATCACCATATCCAAAATATACTAAGGTATAAAGGCATTTAATTTGATTTTAAGGGGTGGGTGGGTTGTCCTTAAAAAACGTAGTGCTTTTGTTTGAACTCCATGTTTGAAAGAGAAATGGAAATAGATGGTGACTGGAGGGAGGAAGGAAAGGAAGCAGGGTTGAGTCATCCATCCTTACAGGATCTCTGGTTCAACTGTTTCCTTTTTCATGTCAAGATGCAGCTCTGAGAGAACACCCTTCCATTGATGCCCATGTGGAAGAAGGCCTCTGTGTGCATATGCGTTGAGGAACCACATGCTCAGGCATGTTCTACGCAAGCGATTCCCCACCCCCACTCCCAGCCTAGTTACAGGGATTCCACAACCATATCTGTCATGGCGCTGTCAGGCAAGGAAGGTCCAGAGGAAGGAATTCACTCTTTATTGTCAACAGACTGCAGTGGGTTCAGAGCAGAGTAAACACAGAATTCTACTTCACCCCCCTCCCCAAAAAGAAACTTTTATGAATAAATGAAGTATTAAAAGTTTAATTCTTTAAAATAGCAACAACAGCAACATCTTATTAGTTTGTTTAATTCCAAGCTGAAAGACATTGTTTAACCACTAAAGTTCCAGTGTTCCAGTGACGTTTGTTCTTTGTATGATCAGTTTTGTATAATTGGTTTTGTTCCATTCTGAAAATGAATTCATTTTATTATCCTGTATGACTGTATATTGGCAGAGGAGGTGGGATTGTAGAATAGCAATGATCTTTATTGTCAAAAGTGCACTTACAAGTTAGGAAAAGGCAGGTCCATCAGTCCTACATCTCTCAGCTACTTCTAGGTGCAGACCCAATGAGGAAGTTGTTGTGACAAAAATTCACCCTAACCCTAACCTTAACCCCTGACCTCAGCTTATGTATCTTCCCCAACCGAGCTGTGCACAAGCAGTCTAAGACTCTACTTCTGCACCTCCCACTTCAGTCCTCTTCTGG